CTTCGGCCCAGCGCGCCGGGGGGCGGGTCAGGTTGGACCAAGCCTACCTGATGATGAGGGGGAGGAGGAGGAGGAGGAGGAGGAGGAGGAGGAGGAGGAGGAGGAGGAGGAGGAGGAGGAGGAGGAGGAGGAGGAGGATTTTTTTATTTGTTTTTTTTTGTTTTTGCATGGGACCATGCTGCAGCCCACGTACACCGCTCAGGGTGGGCGAGGCCCTGAGGGGGCAGCCGCGCCGAAACAACTGTACGGACGGTCGGCTCGGAAACCAGCGAGGGGTGGGTGTGCCTGGGCGCTCCGCGAGACCAGGCAGCAGAGACCCACCCCTGGGTGGCCCCTCACAGGCACACAGGGCCCAAGGGGGCCCTGCTACACCTGGACGGGGGCCGACGGCGCGCCAGGCACAGTGCCGCAGCCCTCGGCCAGAGGGGAAAACGGGCCCACGACAGGTGACCGCCTAAAGGACCGCCAGAGTTAGGCGGAGGCGCCACCATCAGGAGCCCCTTGCCCTCGACTGCACAAGAGGACAAGCGGCGAGTGGCGGGCAAACAAGTGCTGGCGTCAGGAGCGGAGCCCCAGACACGCACCACAAAAAGAAAAAAAGGGGGCGAAAGCCCACGAGGCACCGTGCGGCCCTACACGAAACGCGTACGCGCACGCACACGCCCGGGCACGGGCCAGCGAGGGGCGAGGGCAAACCACAGCCCTAGCGCCCTCCCATATGCATCACTGCGCGCATCTTCCCCCTGAAGCGGGGTGCCTGGCATGCGTGCGGCACGGAAGACGCGCAAGACACACTGGCCAACAAAAGGACGACGAGGCCTGCCCCAGGTGCTGTAGCGCCTGGACGACACGACCACGCCCCAGATGTAAAACCAAAACACACGCGAGACAAAAGACAAAAAACGACCTCCCACAAAAGGACGGCGGGACCTCCAGCCCCTGGTGCAGCCAGCGCCAGGACGACTGGATGCCACACCCCAAATGTGGGACTAGGCCCTAGAAAAGACAGACCGTGTCAAGATCAACAGTGACCCCAGGCCGCTTCGGGTGGAGCCCGCGTTGCAACTTGACCCACGGATTGTTATGCGCCTTTATATCCTCGGGCTTGCAGGCCTTGGCCAGGTTGGCCAAGCGGCCACCCGAAGTCATGTAGTTGCACTTCTGGCAGACGCACAAGAAAGAACCATCCGAGCAGTCTATGACGGCGCAGCGGTGGCCCAGAGATCTGAGCACAGCGGGCTGAACCCTCAAGGCAAGAGTGCAAGAGCCACCCTCTGGCCTGGCGAGGGGAGAGCCTCGCTTCCCTCGGAGACATTCAGAACACTGCCAAAACTTGCCAGCCCACCCCCAAACGTGGGGCTTGGATTCCTTCTTGGCCGAGGGGCCCTTAACAGCAGGCACACGGTCCGCGTTGGGACCCAACTCCAGCTTAGGCCAAGAAGGCAAAACTTTGGCAGCAAGTCGGGCCACCGCCTTAGCAACCGCGATACTCCGATCAAGACCCTCGGACTCCGACGGAGAAGGCATAGGATGCAAGGCAAGCGCGGCCTTGGCGGCCTCATCGGCCCAGGCGTTTCCCTGGCGGAGGTACCTGTCCCAGGGATCATCAGCGGACTCGATGTCGAGGTGAGCCTTGACCTTGGCAACCGTGATCTTCGGCCAGTGCTCACGCACGAATTGGGCGATTCCTGAAAACATCCTTTTGGCAGAACACTGTTCAGCCCACGGGAGGTCCGAAAATTCCACAACATTGAGACAGTCCGAATAGATCGTACTAGGACCTGTGGTCCACTGCACCGAAATAGAAAAAGCAAAGAATTCAGCCGCCTGGGGCGTTTGCGGGCACGGGGCCCACACAGGCCCAAGGACACGAACAATCTGCTTCAAAGTATTCCTACAAACCAGGGTGAAGGCCCAGGCAGCTCGGTTTAATTCGCGAACAACACTTCGAGAACACGACCCGTCGACGAATATGTCGCCCTCGAAGGCGTATGACTCCAGGTCCGCGGGCCCCCCTTCCAGCCATTGAACCTCGACTCCTCCAGAACACTTGGCGCCTGGAAAGGAATCCCCAGGGTGCGGAAAGATCCCGTAGCACGCCAAGAGATCATCCGACTCCGAAGCCCATTTCTGCACTTTGTCCGTGACGCACTCGTCCCGAATGTCGGACACACTCGGGCACAGCCACAACCGATGCCTTAGCGTGTCAACTGCGCCACCGCACAGTGGGCAGCTCGTAGACGGCAATACATAACCTAAGCTGGCGGCACGGTCTCGAGTATAAATGGCCTGGCATGTGAGCGCACGCATACAGCCTTTCTCGAAAGGCGAGTATCTGGCGGAGTTCAGATACGCAAACGCTCCGTCGACACAAGCCCGACCATCCAAGTTGAACCTAGCTCCCAAGTCCCACTCGAGAGTCCTACGGACCGCGGCCCTGAGAAGGTTTTTAACCAGCCTAGGGGAGAACTCGGTGAGAACAACCTTAAGCCCAGTGTCCGTGACCAAAGTGGCGAAGCTGGGCATGCTCCACGAGATCCTCTCCAGAGACTTCCTAAGGGCACTGACAGGGCCCCCAACACTCCTCCACAGTGGGCTTTCACGAGAAAAAACAGAGGTCCACGCCTCATTCATTTCGGGGAGCGTCAGAGCGTGACGGTAGAGGCCCAGATGGGAGGTCCACAACTCTTTCGACCACCTCACAATAGGCGACACGGCAGAGTACCACGTCGGGTCTTGATGAGCCAACAACAAGGTAGTGAGGCTTCGGCCCTTGGCCGAAGGCTGCAGCACAGAGCCAGCGAGCTTCCTAATCTGCCAGAGTTCGTGATCTGACACCCCGTAGACCTCGGAGCCATACAGGGTGGAGCTGAGAGCCCCCGAGGCCCACACGGCTTTCGAGACCCCAACCCCGACGGTGGGACGGATCCGCGCCAGCCTCTTCGTGAACGCCCGCGCCTTAATCTCCCTGACTTTTTGCTTGCTAGAGCGCCCCTTGAGGCGCCTAGGGCGGCCGACCGCGTCGTCCACTCCCAGATTAGCAGAGGCCGCGACCACCGGTCCAGCCAGCCCGCCGAGTCTCCGACCGAGCTGCAGGGCCAACTTGCGCGAGGAACAGATCAGCGATCGCTTCCCTTCCTCCCGATTGACTATGGCCCCGACCCCTTCCTCAAACACACTGATGAGGCGCTCCGCGCTCGGCGGCAAGTTCTTCAAAATATGCTCTGACGTGCCAGTGCGCGATAAACCCGAGTCGTCGATGTACAACTTGAAATGAACCTGCGACGGCAACGAGACCAGATCAAGCGCCTGGATAGAATAAACTCGGATCAGTGTCGTCGCGAAGGGACAGCCAGCAACGATCCCACGACGGGCCCAGTAGGGCCCGTCCACAAAGCCCGAGAGCCCGAAGAACCGAGGCTGAAGGTACATGCTCACCGCAAGGCGAGCCACCCCCATAGGGAAACCAACCTGCCGACATCTGAACAACAGTTTATTCAAATCGATGGTCTCGTAGTACTTATACAAGTCAAGAAGCACGGTGGCGGCCTCGCCCCCCGCGCTGGTGGAGGCCTCGGACCTCACCGATTGCCTCCAAACCACGTCCAAGGCCCCCTCGAAGGGCCCTGCGGCAAAATACTCGCGAGCATTTTGAAACTCCCAACGTTGGGCCAGGGGCCTCCTGACTTTCCCATACGCGCGGTACAGGGCACAAAAGTTCCCGATCGGGCGGAATCCAGCCGTGGCCTTGGGGATGAGCGCCAGACGGATCACAGAGATTTGGGACGGGACAAGAGCGGCCATTTCCATGACATTAAACATCGAAACGAGCGAAGTGAGCGTGGCATCGCTCATCATATGGAAATGGCGCATGTGAAAACCGTCAACAGACACGCTAGTGTTTTCCCGAAACTTCCTGGAAAACTCCCTGACAGCCTCAATGGGAACAGGGGGCAGACCGTCGCAGATCTCACCCAACTCAAACCAAGGATTCTCTCGCTGGCACCCCCACAACTTACTGAATTTGCGTGACTCCGCCTTCAAGAGGGACAACGGGTCGGCCACCACCACCCCCTCCAAGGAGAGGGTGGTGGTGGGGACCCAGGGGTGGGCCCCTTTCGACACAGTGTGAACTCGCTTAGCTCCCCTGTTGGCCCTGTACAGCAGCCAATCACGAAACTCGCGATGAGAATCCTTGCGCGACTTAGCCTCCGCAGCTCGGAGGTCTTCCGTGAAACACACCTGCATGTGTTCAAACAATTCGAAAAGAGGCCCTTCAGGTAGCTCATACATGGGCAACTCCTGCACGAAGTGGCACAGGGACTCCAAGTAGCGAGAAAGATTCCCAAGGTTAGACAACACCTTGGGAGGGGGATCTAACATCCTGTCCAGCACTTCCCGCAGCCCCGCCTGATTGAGCTCACTCCAGTGCCCGTGCACAGTGTTGAAAATATTCGCCAGCCACCTGCAAGAGAAGAGGTGCTCGTTACTACATTCACCACCCTTGTTCAAGATGGGCTTCCAATACATGGTGGGTTCCTTAGACCGAGCCCCCCAAACAGGCAAAGTGACTCCAGTCGCAGCAGCCACTTCGCGCTCAGCCACCTTAGCCCATTCCTTGTAGCTGAGGTCAAGAGCTTCCTGGGCCCGCTCGAAATCAGCGTGGCGAACAGCATTCCGAACCGAGTCCAGCACGTCGAGGACCCAGGGGGAGGGAGCCACGGAAGCAACGACCGAGCCAGGGACCACAGGAACCGTGGGCAAGGGCGGCGGTCGCCGAAAGGCGAGAGATTTAAGCTTGCCAACTGACGGGTGGAGCATCACGGCCACAGGGAAATGGGGCGTGAGATTGGTCTCACGAACCACTTTAACAGACGCCACCCCTTTGGCCAGGTCAGAAGAAAAAACGAAAAAATCAAACTGTTTGAGGCCAGCAGTGGACTTGCACGTGTGCCCCTCGGGCACCAAAACCTCCAGGTCCCTGCGATCCCCCAAGCCGT